GCCACCCTGCCCGTGTGAGTCGGGATTTCCTGGTTTTAAGCCAAATTCCGAACCAAAGAAGAGGAGAGCTGGGTTTTTGGATCCCAAACACCCAAGGGACGAACCAAAGAGAGAGAGGGCGATTTGAGGGCATTCTTGGAGTAGAGAAGGAGGATTTCTTCGCCTTGGAAGCTTGAGGAACAAGCCCGGACTTGAAGACTGATCATCTGAAGATTCTTACTGCAGTCTCTCTCTTCTCTATGGAGTAACTTCCCTTCACTTAGGTTTTGAGGAACCCTAGCTATGTTTGTTTGATTGGATGATTGTATGAGTACTCTGACTGGATAATCTTGAGTTCATATTCAATCTATGCATGTTTTCATGATTCAATTCTGCTTTAGTCGAGATTATTGATTCTGCTTTGATTCTATGAGAGGGAATACCTGATTAGGTCAATAGAGCACCATAGATTGATAGTAGTGGATCGATTGCTTTAGTCGAGGGTTGATTCACTGCTTTGTATCGATTGAGAACCCCTTTCGATAGAGGGAGTCTAGTTCAGAACGCCTTGATCAGTTGTTCTAGAGAAGGATACGTCCCTCTAGGCAATTGACTCAAGAGGGCCTTGTTCCTTTAGTCGAGACTCAAGGTCTAGTCAAGGATTCTCCGCATTGTGAATGAAAGTGAAACAGGTTAGAGATAATCAATCGTTAATCTGGCTAGTGGCTAGGGGGAATCATACCTAAGTGAGTTCCCAACCTGTAATTAGATTAACTTTAACTGTAGTTTGCTAGAGTAGTTTTAGTTCTTTCATCTTAATCTGATTTGCTAAATAATAAACTGAAGCTGAGTAATAGTAACTCTAGAGACCCGTGGATTCGATATTTATCACTTGAGCTACTATACTGCAGTCCCTTTCATTGGTTACACTTGGCCTTTGTTAGGTGTTGTGTCGTAGCGAGTCAACCAACAAAAACAAAAACACCCAAGTGAAAAGCAAGGGTGGAAAAGAAAAGAAAAACGCTAAAGTCCCCGGCAACGGCGCCAAAAAATTGATGCTCTAAAACACAACACCTAACAAAGGCCAAGTGTAACCAATGAAAGGGACTGCAGTATAAAGGCTCAAGTGATAAATATCGAATCCACGGGTCTCTAGAGTTACTATTACTCAGCTTCAGTTTATTATTTAGCAAATCAGATTAAGATGAAAGAACTAAAACTACTCTAGCAAACTACAGTTAAAGTTAATCTAATTACAGGTTGGGAACTCACTTAGGTATGATTCCCCCTAGCCACTTGCCAGATTAATGATTGATGATCTCTAACCTGTTTCACTTTCATTCACAATGCGGAGAATCCTTGACTAGACCTTGAGTCTCGACTAAAAGAACAAGGCCCTCTTGAGTCAATTGCCTAGAGGGACGTATCCTTCTCTAGAACAACTGATCAAGGCGTTCTGAACTAGACTCCCTCTATCGAAAGAGGTTCTCAATCGATACAAAGCAGTGAATCAACCCTTGACTAAAGCAATCGATCCACTACTATCAATCTATGGTGCTCTATTGACCTAATCAGGTATTCCCTCTCATAGGATCAAAGCAGAATCAATAATCTCGACTAAAGCAGAATTGAATCATGAAAACATGCATAGATTGAATATGAACTCAAGATTATCAAGTCAGAGTACTCATACAATCATCCAATCAAACAAACATAGCTAGGGTTCCTCAAAACCTAAGTGAAGGGAAGTTACTCCATAGAGAATAGAGAGACTGCAGTAAGAATCTTCAGATGATCAGTCTTCAAGTCCGGGCTTGTTCCTCAAGCTTCCAAGGCGAAGAAATCCTCCTTCTCTACTCCAAGAATGCCCTCAAATCGCCCTCTCTCTCTTTGGTTCGTCCCTTGGATGTTTGGGATCCAAAAACCCAGCTCCCCTCCTCTTTGGTTCGGAATTTGGCTTAAAACCAGGAAATCCCGACTCACACGGGCAGGGCCACACGGCCGTGTGGCCTACCCAGTTGCCCGTGTGAGGCAAAACGCACCGTATCACTTAGTCGAATTCCAGGCTTCTCACACGGCCAGAGTGGCACGGCCGTGTGTGACTTCCATCTGCCCGTGTTTGCTCTCGGCAAAACTCGCACGGCCAAGCCACTCCTTCACACGGCCGTGTGTGTTGTCAGGGCAGGCCGTGTTTGCTCTCGCACAATCTCACACGGCCAGAAATATGAGTTTCACGGCCGTGTGATTTGTGGGTGTGCCCGTGTGGCCTCCTTTGTGACTTGCCTCGCGCCCGATCTTCGCCCAATCGACCCCGAGCTCGCTCCTAAACCTTCATTCACTTGCCAGGACCTGAAATATCACAATCAAGCACAACCTAGCGTGAAATCGGTCTAAAACACGAGAAACCACATCTCAAACGGTGTAAGAACAGGGGTAAAAACATGTGTAATTAACGGTCTATCAAACTCCCCCACACTTAACCGTTTGCTTGTCCCCAAGCAAACCTAACTCAAACCAATGCAGCTCTCCAGACCTCTATAGCAACAAACAACCCAGATCGTAGGTAGAGGACTTCCTAGATCATTTAGCAACTTACGAGGTCAACCAACGCACAAGTCATCTCATAGCTTCTTCGGCGAGAACACTAGTATCGAGTCGGCATCATGGCAAATAGTGAACAGAGGACAAATGAATTGTGGATGAAGAGATTCTCAAAAACAAAAGATCATGGACTCACATTTTTCAAGGTGCTCTCTTTTTTTCTTCTTGAAGATGGTTGGAACCCCTTTTCTTTCTGTTTTGCTTGTTTTCTATTATTTTTTTCTTTTCTTTTTTTTCCAAGGGTCCCAACCTGCTCTTACCGGCCATGCCAGGAGCGGATGTCTCGAGCCTCGTGCGGGGGAAAGACATGTAAGGGGGCTGGAGGTAGTAGGTGGAAATTGGGAACGGATTCCCGTCTCCCCTTACACACTTTCGCCCTATTCGCACGGGAGACGTTATTTTGAAGCACATTTTCGAGCACCTGTTAAACTTAAAACATGATACAAGAGTCCATGACAGGTAGAGAATCCACAACACCACACAATTCAAGGGTCCTAAGATCACTAATTCACTCAATCAACCAACTCAATATGAAGAAGAAATGAGACTTCTTAAATGCATCAACATCCTCCATAGTGCTACACTACCTCCCTAGGTTGCATATTACTATAAAGACTGTCAATTCAAAGCATACTGAGCAGGCAATTGTAAGGAACACGTACTTGGAGCCCTCAAATTTAAAAATTTGGACAGTGGACTAGGCTCCAAGCACACAAAAAGCCAAACATTCACCCGCATACATAATCGAACATCCCCCCACACTTAAGCACGACATTGTCCTCAATGGAGGAAAGATAAGGAGGGTAGAACGAAGTTACCAGATCAAGGGTGAATGATGATGAACGGGTCAGGCGGTGCCATCCAGAAAGAGAGAGTAATTAGAACACAAACACCACACAAAATCTCACAAAGGTTGAGTTATTGACTCTAAAATCAAATAGCAAAACTGACTCAACCGAGGAGAAATAGAGACAGAAATGCAAACCGACTGGTTGGGTTGCCTCCCAACAAGCGCTTCTTTCACGTCGTGAGCCGGACGATGGCTCCTAAGTTTCGGTCCACGCTAGAACCTCCTTGAAGTTGAGGTTCTCGTCGATGAGGTGGAGTCTCAAGTCACGAGCATGTGGTGTGGCAGGTGATGAAGGCTCATGTACTTGATGCAGATGAAGTCTCCACCCTCGAGACCTCTCCTTCTCTTCTCTCGTCTCACGGCCAAGCCACTCCTTCACAAGGCCGTGTGTGTTGTCAGGGCAGTCCGTGTTTGCTCTCGCACAATCTCACACGGCCAGAAATATGAGTTGCACGGCCGTGTGATTTGTGGGTGTGCCCGTGTGGCCTCCTTTGTGACTTGCCTCGTGCCCGATCTTCGCCCAATCGACCCCGAGCTCGCTCCTAAACCTTCATTCACTTGCCAGGACCTGAAATATCACAAACAAGCACAACCTAGCGTGAAATCGGTCTAAAACACGAGAAACCACATCTCAAACGGTGTAAGAACAGGGGTAAAAACATGTGTAATTAACGGTCTATCATGAACCTTAACCACCAAGAATGTCATTTAGTTATACATACATAGATCATTCCATCACTATTTCACACTAGTATTAATTGTCTCTCAATCTCCAATTCGTCAAATTAAAGATTATCACTTACAAGAGTTTGAGATATTAGCTCTAGTCAACTCAAGACTTTTTACTTGGTCTCTTTGCCTTAAATTAAATAATAAAATATTATTTATATATTTAATTATTAATTACAAAGGTAATTAATTTTGTATTCGATAATACCGATTGAGATAGCGAGGTACCGATTGAGATACCGAAATTTTTAGAGATTGAGATTGTGATTGATTTTATGATATAATTCGGTATTCGAGATTTCGGTATTTGATACTGGAATATCAATATTTTACCGATTTCCGCCCTACTTACAAACCAATGGAGGGGAAAAAAAAGGCCCCAAAGGAAAGGAGAGCTGAAATCCGATCTAAGCACACCCTGTCCCTCCCCGAACAGCTGGAGATAGCTGTCCATCCAATCTCTCCCCCATGTGACCCCTTTGCATCCCACATTCATATTATCTCCTCTTCTCTCCTCCATCTCAAATTAACTTAATTAAACTCTCCTAATGTGGGATATTTATTTGTGAGACTAATATCAATATACAAATTTGCAAACAAACATCTCCTCGGCCCCATCCATTTTCCAATCCCAAAAGGCATATAGCAAATAAAGCTGAGCAGCTTAAAAATGACCCCCTCTCAAAAATTATTATCATCATTTCATGCTCTTGTTCTCTCTGTATCTCTCTTCACGTCCATTTCCACAATTCAGTCGCTAGAGCTTCCTAATAAGTGCTTTCTGTTTAGCTCCCTTTTTCTGGTGCACTGCATATATAACAACCACACCCAACACCCTTCCCCCTATTCCATTTTGCTGCATTTCATCCCCACAAGTCACAACCCACCCTCCTCAAAATAAAAAGAAAGAAAAACCTCTTCTATTCTTCTTGATTCTTTTTAATCGATTCATAACATTGTGCATTATCCCATTCTGAATTGTGACTTCCAACTCTCTCTCCCGCAAAAAAAAGCGCCATTGCAGGTCCGATGGCGCAATTGCCTCCCAAAATCCCAACCATGTTGCCCGTATGGGCGGATTTCTCGCCCGAACACAAATTGCATTCCCTCGCCGCCGCCATTCCGCCTTCCTCCTCCGCAGCTCACAATAGCAATAATAATAATCCGTCCTGGGTTGACGAATTTCTCGACTTCTCCTCCACCAGGCGCAGGACCCACCGCAGATCCGTCAGCGATTCCATCGCTTTCCTCGAGGCGCCAATGCTCGACGACTGCCGCGCCACCCCTCCCGCGTGCCCGGCTAACAGCAACCACCACAACAACCAGCAGCAGCAGCACGATTTCGACAAATTCGACGACGAGCAGTTCACGTCCATGTTCTCCGACGACATTTCCTCCAACCCGGTCACCGGTCCCAACAACTCCTCCTCCAACCCTTCCACGCCATCCGATCACAACAGCTTCAACGACGAGAAGGAAGCCATGCACCACAATAATAATAATATTATCCGCTGCGAAGCGGACGACGCGCAGAGCCCTTGCAATTCGGATTCCCAGCAAACCACCACAACCGGGGACCGTACGGTCGACCCCAAGAGGGTCAAGAGGTGCTTAATTACCATTCATTCATTCATTCATTTAGTAACCCATTAATTAATATTCAATTAACCCATTAATTAATATTTACTGAATTGGGTTTCCTATGATTTGTTTTTCACCCCAGAATTCTGGCGAACAGGCAATCGGCGCAACGCTCACGGGTTAGGAAGCTGCAGTACATATCGGAGCTTGAACGGAGCGTCACTTCCTTACAGGTAATTGCGCGATTTCCTTTCCTTCCAGATCTGGATGGTGGTAATGGCATTAATAATAATGATAAATCAACTAATTTGTGATGCATATATATATATACAGGCGGAAGTATCAGTGTTGTCGCCTAGGGTTGCATTTCTGGACCATCAGAGATTGCTTCTCAACGTGGATAACAGCGCTTTGAAGCAACGCATTGCAGCTCTGGCTCAAGATAAGATCTTCAAAGATGGTCAGTCAGCTGTGTTCTCTCTCTCTTTTTTTAGTCCCTTTTTCTTGATTATTGTGTGTCATTTCCTGCTCGATCTCCATTAGTATCTATCGATCAATATAATAATGAGCTTATGTTCACAAAAGAATGGTAGAGTTTCGGTGGGTTTATGTTATTTACTACGAATATGGTGGTAAAAAGAGTAAAATCTTGTTTGAGGAAATATATGAGATTGGGGGGGAGAAAGAAAGCGATGGAGCGAAAATAGGGAGTGAATGCCAACTGTTGCCATAAATTAATTAGGGGTGGACAGGATAGATATGACAAAATCTGTATACCGGCAATAAATGAGGGCGGGGAGGCTCTGTACTTAGGATCCCCAAATTGTTATCTGCAGCAGTTTACCTCCATTTCTCCAACTCTCTGGTTTTTTCGTTAATTACATTTACAACGCTTTAATCTCTACATGGGCTGCACTGCTAGCTAGTTTATTGTTCATGGTCCCACCATGTGTATAGATGCATGGTTGGTGGGTTTGATTCCCCTGTTTTCTTTTTCTCTTGTTGTGAAAACGGAGAAGAGAAAAAAAAATCATGGTAGATAGAAACCATACCGGAGACCGTATCGGAAAAGTCAGCGGTATTGTATATTATGTCAAAATCGTGGTTTAACCGTAGTTCAACCGTTAGTACCTTTAAATACCGCCTATCGGTTTAGCCTTCGATACTGGTATTTTGTGGTTGAACCGCCGATACGGTACGATATGAAAAAAACACGTACGGTAGCTAGCTAGCAAGAATGGAGCAATTGAATTGAATGTAATAAGTGGTTGAGTCTTCTGGGCTAGGGCACGAGAGTGGTGCAGGCCATGCATGTGATGAGCAGACACAACAGCTAGTTGATGAAACTTTAACTTGATGCGGTTTGTTATATATATATATATATTTCTACGGTCTGTAATACTAAGTGTTATTTATTTATTTAATTAATTGGGCAGCTCATCAAGAGGCACTGAAGAGGGAAATAGAGAGGCTGAGGCAAGTTTACCACCAGCAGAACCTCAAGAAGATCGAGATCAGCAGCAACGACGACAACTCAGCAAGCCAGCATAAGAATCATAACAGTGAACAACCCAGCAATAATAATAATATTGCAGCGGCAGAGAAAGAGCAGCAGCTTCTTCAGGTTTAAACTGATATGCATTTTGATCCAATACACTTGATAATTAACCGCAAGTTTGATGAGGAGATGGTGGGAAGGAAAGGGTGTTGGTTTGGTTCATTTCACATGCGTTGTCGTGGCTGGCCGGCCAGTGGCTTTGGTGATGGTGGAGTGGAAGTAAGCTTAATGATTAGCTAGTTGACTCATTCGATATTCAGATTAATTAGCTTCTGGGGAAGGGAACTATCATGACAGGGGGAAAAGACAGGGAAGGTGGTGGGAGCTGCTGCTGCTAATGATCTATCTATCTATATATATGTACATTCACGTGATATGTTGTACAAGCAGCAAGAATCAAAATGGACCACTGACCACTCCTCTCCTCTCAGATTTACATGTATGATTGGGAACCTCAGAACCCAACTACATGTGCCTCCTCCTTCATCACTTCCCTTCTTTTGTTTAACCATTTTCTCCCCTATTTTCTCTTCCTTTTTTTTTCTCTCTCCTTTTTAAATTTAAATATATTTCATTCATTAATTGTTTCCAGACCAGAAGGAGAAGAGTTTAGTAGTGTAGTAGTGGTGGGATGTGGGTTACTGATTTTTTCTTTCTTTTTCTTCTTAATGTTGCTGGTTCCTTTTTGGGTTTACTTTTTAGAGAAAGAAGAAGAGTAGGAAGTGGGTGTGATTGATTCTTTTCATGAAATGTAGTGGACAAGTGTTGTTTCTGTATTGTATTGTTGGGATGGATGGATGGATGTATAGCTGTATGAAAAGGGCAAGATGTTTGTGAGGGGAATTCCCCTCATTTGTTTTTGTTCCTTTGTTGCTGCTCCCTTTCATCATCCCCACCCTCTCATCTCAGTTCTCATCTCTCCTTTCTCATTCTTTGTGCGTTTGTTTTTTTTTTTTTCTCGTTTTATTCGTTATCTTTTGTTCATTCTGACTTCTCAATAGGGGGTGGTTATCTTTCTGGTACGGTTAAACGGTTCAGGATTAACCCGGTTCTATTCCGGTCTTTTGGGAAATATGAGAACCAAATATTGGATTGAGTACAATCTGGTTTTGACCCTGCTACAGACAATTCAGCCGCATATACCCTTTTTCCTGGAATGTAGACAACCTATTTGTACATCATTTCTGGAAAGGAAAAAAAAAACAAGTCAAACCTAGTCCAATACTAAATTACAAACATCCTTGCTGTCTATTACAAAACCAAAGTCCAATTCAAACTTCAAAATATAAATAAAGTGCATCACAACAAATTCCAAAGTTTAGACATTAAACACCAAATCCACTCCAATCTAACAAGTTCACCAAACCATTTCTACTCTTCATATTCAAGAGAAACAAATGAAGCATTAGAACCACCTCGATTTGTTCCACTAATCGAGCCAAACACATCACTCCCTCCGATATTGCTCGTACTTGTACCTTCGTGTCCACTCACATGCTCACGCCTTTCCTCCTCATCCACCATAATAGCATTGTAAACTAAATGAAATGGACCAAAAAATAGAATGGTTAGGAATAACATTTACATGGCCAAAACTAAAAGCTACAATAAAGTGATGTACTTACCACTCATGAAGTCTTCTTGATCTTCATAGTCATCATCATCAACATGGTCCACAAACTCACTAGAACTTGATCTAAGGCAATCTTAACTGCATAAGAGAGCTTCCACAATCTTAGGATGCAAAGAGCTCCTAAATTAATCTAAAAAACATGCCCACTTGTGCTAAAAATGGACCCAGAAGGAACGATAGACATATGAATAGCAAACAGATCCTTTACCATCTCACTCAAGATGGGATACCTCATAGCATTAGTCTTCCACCACTTCAACACATCAAAGTCTCCTTCGACATCATCAAATTCTCGAGGATGAGCAAGATACTTCTCCAGATCAGTCTTAGAATCGCCAACTTGAGGTTTTCCATAATCATCATCAACATCATAATCAACATCAGATTCATCAGAATCACTAGCTGCCTTCTGTGAACTTGAAGTGGAAACTTGTACTCGACGTTTTGGAGGAGAAGAAGATGGCGCAGGAGGATGAATCTTACTATGATAATATTCACACAACTTATCAAGTTCATCATTAAACTCTTTCACCAAGACTTTAATTTTTCCCTATCATCTCCACACATCTTCTTGAAAATATGATCCGGATAGTTCATCTTATGCCTCGGATCAAACACCACAACCATGTAAACCAACTTGTTCAATCTGAAGACACAATCCTTCTCCGACCAATACTTGTCAACTTTAGCCTTCATCTTCATACCCATCCTAACATGTCATCATTTGTGCTATTCATCATTTTGTCAACATGATAGAATACCTTACCAAACTCTTTCAAGAATCTATGAGTAGTCACAACAGAAGTAGTGGATGCAATCAAAGTCAAATCATGAAAGAATTTCAAATACTTCATCAAAACTTTTGCATTATTCCAATCTTCATATTGAGGCACACCAATTTCTTCATTCTTGTACCTCTTTGCCTTAATCTCGGGCTTGTAATCTTTATCCATCCTCTCAAGACTAGAGAATGCATCTTCAAACAACATAGCAACTTCAAGCAATGTTTTGAAATCCCACTCACTCCTCGAACTTTGCCAATCTAGATGGTAATGATCTAACCCATCTCACAACCTCTCTCACCCTCCTTATTGACATGCCCATCTCTTCTAAACCATCGCTCACAATCAAATTCACTATATGAGCGATACGCCGCATATGAAGGTACTTTCCACCAACTATATTAGTACCCCACTCTTCAAGTCGATCTCTCAAATAAAGAAGTGTTGTGTCATTTGCACTTGCATTGTTAGCTGTAACTATGAAAATATTTTGCAAACCCCATTGCTCCAAACAATCGACTATTGCATCACCTAGATCAATCCCCTTATGACTTGTAATCTTGCAAAAACTTATCACCTTCTTCTACAATTTCCAATCCTTCCCAATAAAGTGTTCCATGCACATATAGTTGAATTTTTGACAAGAAGTCCAACTATCAGTAGTTATGGATACCCTTCCTACACACTTGATCTTGAAGTAATCTCTCAACTTGTCTTTTGTCTTTCTGTTCAAGGAACAATCTAAAACAATCTTCTCTAATTGTTTTCCTGCTTGGAATCTTAAACATCAGACAAGCACATGCTTTGAAGAGCTTAAAATCTTTTTTCTCCATGCTCCTAAAAGGCATTTCATCCAGAGTTATCATTTCAACTAACCCAGCTTTGACAAATGCTTGATCCAATTTCCAAGTCCCCAAAACTCCTTGCCCTTCAACAGAACTTGGATTGAGCTCTAGATTCAACTGCTAACCCTTTTGTTGTAGTTTCTTCACGCACCTTTTAGTATGCCTGCCCAAAGAACTTATACCATTCCCCGAGGGATCCCCAGCCAATAACTTGCCACAGTAATGACACCTTGCCTTCTTCTTGCCTTTATCATCTTTGTAACAATCATATTGGTCCCATATAGGTGATCTCAACGTATACTCCCTGTTGGTCTTGTCCATAACAGGTGTTGTGGTGTTGGTAGCAGCTGTGGGTTCTTGTTCTTGAGTTGTTCCGGCTTTAACATTAATATTACCACTGTTGTTACCATTTTCAACAGTTGCCTTTGAAGCTTGTGATTGTAGTCGCTTTTTACTAGGAAGAGGAGGCAAATTATCATCTCCTCTTGGGATCGATACGCTCTTCTTACTACCCTGCACTAAAAAATTCAAAATAAATATAAAAACGCACTTTTCTCCCTTCTCCATTGAAGAACAAACAAAAACTAATCAACAATAAACTCATCCAGCCTTAGTTCATCACATTCCACCATTCAGTTCATCATTAATAAACTCATAAACTAAAACTAATTACTAATAAACTTAGTAACTCACCTAGCTGCTGCTTCCTTCCATCTTTTCTGAGCTCGGTGGCTGTTCCCCAATAGTCGACGGAGGGTGACGAGATGTGGATGGAGAGCGATGACCTATGATTGCGGGAGACGAGCTATGAAGTGTGGACGAGATGATGGAGTGGTCACGGTCAGAGATGGGACGGAGCGGACTGGGGAGGGCGAAGACCGAAGAGGTTTTGGTCTCGATGGTCACGATCGCTGATTCGGTGGCTCGGAGCGGAGGCCGGAGTCGTGTTTGCTGGGTGAGAGCCGAGGTCGGCGTCGCGTTGCTGGGTCGGATTTGAGGTTAGTGTCGCGTCGCCTCGAGGAGGTGGATGGGAGCGGAGGTGGTCGGAGCAGAGGTGGGTCGGAGCGAAGACGGAGTCGCATTCGCAGGCTGATTTTAGGGTTAGGGTAGGGGGTTCGGGGCGGGATGACTGTTGCGGTTGGGACTTGGTAGGGAAATGGATTGGAGTGGAGGTGTTTGTTTGGCTCTTTGTGATTGAATGGATTAGAGAGGGAGAGTCTCAAACCCTACAGAACAAAGTGGGCTGGCTAGCTGAGCTCGCTTGGGCCAGCTGGGGGAGTGATAGTGGTCTCGCCTGGGTCCGGGTGGGCTTTGCCTCTGGGTGTGGGCTGGTTTGTTTTTAGTTATCCGGTCTTTCGATTTTGACACGATTTTGACCTGAACTAGATTGATTCGAATTTTTGACTATTTCTGAGACCAAAGGCATGATTGGATTGTTTTACATAAGGTGTCGGTCTTAAACGGTTCGGATTATACGGTCCGATTTCCAGTTTTACATCTGGTCCCGGACCAAATAGCCATCCCTACTTCCCAAGTATATCTATGTTCTTTTCTTTGCTCTCCCTTGCTTGATTTGTTGCGGGTGTATCTATAAAAATATTAAAGCACTTTAAGATTTACACTCTGTCCACGTCAGCCTCCCTGGAAATGTAGCCCGTCCACGTCAGCCTAATCTTCCGCTCTCTTATTCCACCAATCTCTACCGCCTCCACCGTTACCTTCCACTCCAGCGAGCAATAACTACCAAGCAGTTCTCTGGGTATTTGTTTAAACTTCAAAAAATTAAATATTAAGCGGTTATCCCAAGCTTGGCAGTTCTTTCATCATAAACAACTTTGAAGCAGTTCTTTTGGCACGAAAAACTGAATCGATACCTACCGTCAGAATGAAAATAGGAGATTTAAAGACATCCATGCATTTGAAAATTTTAGATTTTGTGAAGATCAGAGTATCAGAGCTTTGGATCATCGCAATTCGCAACGCAAGAAACTGGGTAAGGAAATTGTTGTACTAACACAGAACTGGCTATGGGGATTGCAATTTGAGGGCCAGAATTTCAGACTCGGACAGACGCCAAAGGCGCAGACTTTGACAGATCATGATTGAGTGAGTACAGCGGATGCGGCTTCCGATTGATGAAAGAGACAATTGGCGGGCGCTGCAGTTTCTCAAAGCAGAATCCGTGGGTGTCCGGGATGCATGCAGATGGTTGCCGCCCTGCAGCGTCAAATCCCAATCCGTAACCTAGAGAAGAACATGATCGAACGCGGTCCATAGTAGGAATTTGGCTGGGGTGCTAACGAGGAAAGGAAATCACGTACAATCTAAGCAATAAAAACAAAGCCGAAGAAACAGAGGCATGGTGGTATAGACAAAGGAAGTAAAATTGGAGAAGAAATCAACAATGATAAAGAATCCATTCCCGACAATCATAAATAAATTGAAATAAGATAAGAAGGCAGAGCACTGGGGCGGTCGTACTGTAAAAAAACTCTAAGCTATTTCATTGGTTCCAGAAGCAGAAAGAATCGCAGGGGATATATAATAGGGTGGGTGCTTCCCTACCTTCTTCTAGCCTAGCATTTGGGTTAAGCAGAATAAGGTTTGTCCAATTTCTTTGTGCCCAGCTAAATTGATCTATGCATGAGTTTCAATTTCACTCTTTATGTAATTATCTTATGGTGATTATTCATGTTTGGTCAATTGATATAAAAGGTTAACTTAGTGTATGTTTTGAAATTATGACGCTTTTGTTGAGAATTGTTGACCTTATGCATGTCTAATGTATGATTGTTACAAATTCGAGTATTTGGAGACAACACCCATACTGAACGAAATGCTCTCAACTGATTCCGGAGGCTCACCGAGCCCGGCACCGGCTCTCTTCCCCTCCGATCGACCGCCGGACACTTGCACTCCTTTAACGATAGCTGAATCTTCTTCTTTGATGATGAACGTGGCCACGGCCACCTCCTCCTCTGATATGGCTATTGACTCCTTCTCTTTATTGTCTGTGCAGAAGCAGGGAGAATGGGAACCGATGACGGAATCCCAACAAGAACAACCTTTGGCGGTGGCTACCAGCCAGCAACGCTTCACCTACGCCAAGGCCGTGACAGGGTTGAAGCCGGCGACGATAAAATAGAGTCTGTCGATTCAGTGGACTCCGGTGGGAGAGCATGATCTGGTGACGGGCGATCGCAATGGGGAACCATCGCTGCAAGTTTCGGCCGCGTTCAAGGCAAAGCTCTGTGCTCCATGGCAGAAAACCCTGGTGGTCCGGTTACTGGGTCTGCGGATAGGTTTTGTTACTCTTTGCAATCGTCTGAAGAACTTGTGGCGTTCGACGAGCAGTATGGAGGTTAAGGATCTCGACCATGATTGCTTTCTGGTCAAGCTGGATAATGAACAGGATTACCTCAGAGCATTGACGGATGGTCCTTGGGTGATATTCGATCATTATTTGGTGGTTCAACAATGGTCCCCAAAGTTTAAAGCATCCGACCCTCTTCCTAGGATGATGATTGTCTGGGTACAACTCCCAGCGCTAAAAGTCCACTTCTACCACAAGGAGGTGCTGACCACTTTAGGGAATCTAATAGGCAGAACTATCAATCTGGATTACCATACACTGACTCAGGAGAGAGCGAAATTTTCTCGACTAGCGGTGGAAGTCGACCTGTCGAAGCATCTGATACCGCGGATTTGGCTTGACGATGAATGGCAAAAGGTGGAGTACGAGAATCTCCCGGAGGTTTGTTTCGAGTGTGGGAAGATCTGTCATTCATCATAGTCTTGTCCACAGATTTTGCCGGTCGTTCCTCTTAGCCAAACGTCGCCGGTCGATGTGTCGCCGACATCGCCAATCACCACCTACGACCCCAACCCGAGCTTCGGACCGTGGATGCTGGTGACGAAAAAATCTCGGCGTAATCCAAGGGAGGTGCAGCGAAAAGGGAAAGTGGAGAACAGGCCGGGCAATCAAATCCCGACTTTTGCCTCCAAAGATGGAAAGGGCGGTCCAGCGATTAAGGAAGGAAACACGTCCTTACCTTCTCTGTCCATCTCCAATGGCCACTTACCTCAGAAGAACCCTTCTCAGGAAAAGATTGGAAATAATGGTAAGAAAAACAGTGATGAAGCTAGAAAAGGGAAGAATAAAGTGGGAAACGAGGGGATTAACAAAGGAAAAGGGTTACTTGGGGCCGGGCCTAATCTAACTAAGAAGGGGGATAACGGGCCGAAGCCTGTTTCATCTGGAGGGCCCTCTTTGTCAGGCCACAACTCGGGAACCTCCCCGGGCCTGCAAAGGGCGGATCTGGACGTTCAGAATGAGGAGCCCGGGCCAGAACCTTATGGAGAGCCCAGACCTCTGATGCCTCAACCACCGGCCATTCGAACAGTAACAGGGAAAAATGGGACGGTGATGCAGATCGTGGAGAACATCCAATCGGCAGGAGAAAGAGGCGCCGCGAAATGCTCGTCTCCGTCTGTTGCGTCAAGGACAAAGCAGAGCAAGAACAAGAAGACGCAAAACAAAAAGTCGCCCAACAAGTTTAACCAGCTGAAACCCCTTCAAATTTGGTCCCCGGTGAAGAAAACCAAATCCAAGGCTCGCATTGCGTCGTTGACTCTCCAGGAAATCAATGCCTGGACTGAGGCTGCTAAACGTCCGGCGATGAGGGGGGGGGGGGGAGGGCTGGGGGATCGGAACAAGCGGATACGATGGCGAACCCGCAGGCCAGGGCTAGGCCAAACGCCGGATCGTTACCTCCGACTTGAAGCGGGGGTTTTCTTATGTTTTCTCGAACCTCTCCCCTGCTACTGCCCTGTTTTTCTTCTTTTTTATATCTTTATGGTTATGAATTCCAGTTTAAAAATCTTCTCTTGGAATGTTGGTGGCGCAGGAAGTTGGGAGTTCTTCCGGGCGCTGAAATTGGCTGTTCAAGGCCATCGACCAGACTTCGTAGTGTTGCTGGAGCCTCAGATCAGTGGCGACTCGGACAGCGTAGTCTGTGATAAGTTGGGATTCCCCAACTCGATTCGGGTCAAGGTAGAGGGGCGACGAGGTGGTCTGTGGGTCTTTTGGGACGCGGGTCAGTTCACCGTGCAGCCAGTCGCCGCCTATTTTCAGCATATTTCGCTCAAAGTCTCCAGGAACAATAACCCTACTTGGATGCTTACGGCAATTTATGCTTCTCCTAGGCAGCATGAACAACGATAGCTCTGGGATAAGATCATTGAGCAGAGTAAGTTCATTGATGTTCCTTGGCTATTGACAGGAGATTTTAATGCCATTAGCAGTTTGGATGAGAAGACGGGTCTCCCTACTAGCAATACTCTCAGGAGGTGCCAGCTGTTCGTGGAAAGAATGAACTTGGCAGAGCTGATCGATCTTGGTTTCTCCGGCCCCAAGTACACCTGGGCTCGAGGCGATCAAGCTCACACTTTTAGTGCTAGCCGTCTGGACAGGAGTCTCTGCAACACCCGGTGGAACTCGGTCTTTCCTAACTCAACGGTGCTTCACCTTCCTCGCCATCAGTCGGATCACAACCCAATTCTTACCACGGTGGATTTACAGCCTTAGCAGCAGCAGATGGCTCGGACTTTCATATTTGAAGCCGCCTGGCTTACGAGCAAGAGTTTGAAGAATGTGATTGCCGACTCCTGGGATAAGGATGCCACTCTCCAGGAGGCCTTACACACTCTTGCGGGTAAGCTTGATGAGTGGAATGGTGCTGTTTTTGGGGATGTGAGGCAGAAAAAGCGGAGGTTATTAGCTCAGCTGAAGGGAGTGGAGTCAAGGCTAGCCATCACTTTTTCTCCGGTCTGGCCAAGCTCCACTCTAAGCTGGAATGTGAATTAGATAAGATCCTCGAGCAAGAAGAGTTTATCTGGTATCAACGGTCGAGAGATAAGTGGGTTAAGTACGGGGAAAGGAACACAGCTTATTTTCACCAGCAGGTCAATATCAGGAGACGGGCTAATAGAATTGAAGCACTGCTGGATAATAATGATGCCTGGGTAGATGATCCTTCCTCTCTTGCTATGTTGGTATTCGACTTTATTTCTAACATCTTCATGCAGGATGATTCTACCCATGAGGACAGGTTGCCGAGGAAGTCTTTCCCGCGACTAAGTCAAGCGGAGGCAGCAGCGCTTTTCAGCCCTTTCACTACCATGGATATTCACAGAGTGGTGTTTGATATGAATCCATTTCAAGCTCCTGGACCAGACGGGTATCATGCGGCCTTTTATCAGCAATTCTGGCAGGTGGTGGGCAGGTCTCTCACCGACATGGCTATCTCTTTCTTCATGACTGGGGTGTTACCTGAGGGTGTGACGGACTCGACCCTAGTTCTTATCCCGAAGGTTGAAAAACCTGAGAGGGTTACCCATTTACGGCCTATTTCGCTCAATAATGTCTGTCTCAAGAGCATTACGAAGGCCATGACTTCTAGGCTTAAACCCCTCATGAGGAAGTTGGTATCCCCAAGGCAAAGCAGCTTTATCCCCGGCAGGCAAACGTCCGACAACATTATTGTGGTCCAGGAGGTTTTGCATTCTTTTAGAAAGAATAGAGGGAAGAAAGGGGGAATGATCTTTAAGATCGATCTGGAGAAAGCCTACGATATGTTGCGTTGGGATTTTCTTCGAGACACTCTTAAGGAAGTCGGATTACCAAGTAGTTGGATCAACTGCATCATGTACTGCGTTGAACACAACTCGATGAGGATCAGGTGGAACGGGGAGCTATCTCAACCGATCATCCTGACTCGTGGAGTCCGACAGGAAGACCCTCTTTCTCCCTACCTCTTTGTTTTATGTATGAAGCGGTTATCTCATAAGATTGATGAGGCGGTGAATAACGGAAAATGGAAAGCCATCAGGCTTACCAACTCCGGTCCACCTCTTACTCACCTCTTTTTTGCATATGATTTGCTGCTTTTTGCAGAGGCAGGGAAGTGTCAAATCCGAACTGTGAAGCAGTGCCTAGCAGACTTCTGTTACAGCTCAGGACAACGAGCCAACTACAGCAAGTCCATTCTCTACGTTTCTCCGATGTGGGTCGGCACAAGGCGGAATATCTCAGCGCGTGTGCAGGGATTCCTTTGAAAGTCGGGCTAGAGAGATACCTCGGGATTCAGGCGATTCAAGAAAGGGTCACGAAAGGAAGATACCAATCTCTCATTCTCCGAATTCAAAAGAAGATGGCTCTCTGGAAGGCTAAGAGACTCTCTTTCGCAGCTCGGCTTACCATATAGCTAGATCGGTTACCGCCTCTTTGCCTGTTTATACTATGCATACTAAGCTGATCCCAAGTGGCGTTTGCAGGAGCATTGATAAAATCAGCAGGGAATTTATCTGGGGGGATGAAGAGAACCACCGTAGTTTCCACCTGATTGCTTGGGAAAGGCTGACGACGCCTAAATATCAGGGGGGGGGGGAGTGGGCATCAGACCAACCCGTCAAGCAAATATTGCTATGCTTGCAAAAGGCGGTTGGTGTCTCCTCCAAGACAAAGAGAACATTTGGCAACAACTACTCCTCACTAAGTACGGGGGTCAGCGTCAGAATCTCGACGTCCTCCAGAATATAAAGGGAAGTTCCTTCACCTGGCGTAGCTTAACTAAGGCTGCCGACCTTCTTAAGAAAGGTTGTGCGTGGAACATTAAAAATGGGAAACGAACTAAATTCTGGGTGGATTCTTGGATTTTGCAGGGTCCTCTTAAGGAGAAGGCGATCGGAGCTATCCCGGAAGATTTGGAGGAGGCTGTGGCGGCCGATTTTATCCGGGAGGACGGTAGCTGGCGAACGGAGCTGTTCAGCGGGCTCCTTCCTATGGACATCAAGAACAAAATTATGAGCACGACAGTCGATGTCCTGTCATCAGAAGAAGACTCTCTTCTCCGGTCCGAGTCATCGGACGGTCGCTTCTCCACCAAATCAGCCTACGAGCTCCTTACCAAGCAGGTTCAGCAGTCGAGTGATGGGATTTGGAGAAAAATTTGGCAGCTGCCGGTTCCTGAGAGAGTGAGAAGCTTCGTTTGGTTGTCTTTTCAGGGGAAGATCGCCACCAACGTGGTGCATCACCAGCGGAAGGTGGCTGCCTCCCCTTGCTGCTTGCGTTGTCCTAGCTCCCCG